GCGTAGTTTTAGCTACAGCTTCGCCAGGCCAGACCGGCCCATTGTGTGTTTGTTTAAAAAAGTGCGCAGGGCAGGGGGGGAACTGCTGTTTGTTGAAGTAAGATGACAGGTTTAATAGAGGCAAAATAGGAATGAATTATTTTCTTAAACAAGTTCTGTTCGTTGTTTTTGGTACGCTTAGTATAGCAACCTCGTTTTACCAGAAAAACATTTTCACAGCAGTTTTCAAGTCGCATTTTTCAAGTCAAGGATGCTTAACCGGACAGATGGCAAGTTAAACGGATGAAGTCATAGTCTCAACTTTCAAACATTTTGGATTCTTCCTTCTGACTTTAAAGAACCTCCGCGGTGGCGCCATGTCAGCAGATGCCGTTGACTGTCTCAGCGGCAGCGAAGCCATAGAATTGCCCTCAGATGTAGATTCGGAAATAGAGCTACCACCAGATGCTCCGCCGGAGCCACTGCGAGGCAGCGCTTCGACCAGCAAACTGGACCCTGACAGGTGCTGCACTGAAAACTGCCTACGGCACCTGCAAGATTCTCCTGCCCTGTCACGTCGAGTCACCGAGTTGGGCCAAGCGTTGAATGCATGCACCAAATGTCAACGAAAAACTTTGCAGTTTAAAAGATTGAAGGAGTGGGGCATTGGATCGTCTACGTGGAGGAGGTATTGTGCTTGGGGCTTGACATTGTGTGCAACTGCGGTGGGGAAGCTGTTGCACATATCCCAGTATCATCTCAGACAATTCAACGCAGAAATTGCACAAGGGCATGACATGCCACAGCGCATGCTCACAGAAACCCAGCAACAGCGCAACGAGCGAGGCGCATGGACCAAAGCCGACGCAATACTACAATGGTTACATGACCAAGTCGCTGAAGACTTGGCAGAAAGTGTTCGGGTAGCAGGAGAAGGTGACGAGGTACCTGCCAGCACCAGGCCCAGCCGGTTGCCGCAGGAACCAGAAATTGCTTTCAAGGACGAATTGTGCGACTGCGGTGTCCGATGGCTGCCTCCAGGCACTACACTGGCAGAAATGCTAGATCTCGGCGTGACGTTCTTGCCAGAGCACCAAGTGACGTACTCCACGTTTGTGAAGTGCTATCACATGTCTTGGGAGAAAAAGCTGAAAATACGATCTGTCGGACAACACAGTAAGTGCACGGCCTGCGAGAAATTCAAGCAATACCGGCGCCAGGTGTCTTCCAAGTCAGACTGTGACCGCATTAGCAAGGAATATTCTGATCACTTGACGGATGTCATGAAAGACAGGCAGGTCGATTCACGCCTAGTCACACGGGCACGCATCAGCGCAGGAACCTTATCTGGAAGCGTCGAAGCATCAGACTCATTGCTATCTATAGTCATAGACGCAATGGACGGTGCCAAATTTCGCTGCCCAAGGAACATCTCCGCCGCAAAAGAATTCCAGAACCTTTGGCGGCCAGAGACATCCTGCATAGGTGCCATCATAGAAGGCCTTCATGAAACATACTATTTGTGCGATCCTGACCTCTCAAAGAACGCCGACGTGCATGTGAGCATCGTTGGCCATTCTTTGGAGAAAGCAAAAAGCAGCTTTCGGGCGCGGGGGAAGCCTTCCCCCGCCACCTGAGGCTGCATACTGACAACGCAGCCGCGGAAGGAAAAAATCAGACTGTGATGTGCCTGGCTGCATGGCTTTGCCATCGCCAGTTGTTTGACAGTGTTGTCCTAACCCAGTTCAGGGTTGGACACACCCATTCAAGGATCGATCAGCGATTCAGCGAGATCAGATTTTGTCTGTCTCAATGTTCGGTCCTTGAATCGCCAGAGGCATTCATGAATGCCATTAGTGAAGGCGTGCAGCCACGTGACTCCAGACAATTGTCTGTGGAGAGAATCCGCGCTGCACCAAGCATGAAGAAATTCTTCCAGCACCTGGAAGTGACCACTTCAGGTCATGTGCAGACGCATTGGCAAACAAAACGAAATGAAGAGGCTGTGCATTTCTTCAGCTTCCAGCGACGCTCTGAGTATGAGGGCAGTGTGGAGGAAGTTAACGGCTCACCGGCTGGTCCGAAACCTGGTGATGTCATTCTGACATGCAGGCAATATATTAGCGACAAGGTGCCCAGTCAACCACCATTAGTCTTCGCCCTTGAAGACGATTTTGCTCGACTTCCAAGCTGTGAGTCTTTGACCTTATCTCCACGAATTTCCTTGTCTGAGAGACAGGTCAGAGAGTTTCAGAAGACAGCTGAGGTGATCAGCCAAGAACCGTGGCATATGGATGCTGGCTGCGCATTTCTGCTTCAGCTCGTCGAATCCAACCAAAGCAATTCGTGTGAATCATGGGTCCCATTGCATATGCCGTGGCTCTTGGCAGGAACCCGGGCAGAGGTTGAGGTCTCTGAGCCGGACGTGCCGCAATTGACAGACAAAACCTTTGCATGGAATCACAGGGCGCCTGCCACTGTCAAGGTGTCTAGGCCACCCTCCACACTGAGGCGGCTCAAGGTCAAGGGCAAGACGACAGCTGCAGATGATGATGGCGGCGCCGTTCAACTTCCACCTCCTGCCGAGCCTGAAGGAGAGCAACTTCAGCAAGATCCCGCAGAGAGACCGCATCAGAATCTTCAGTTGGGCGCGCCTGACAGTGCGTTTGGTCGGGGTGGTGCCCCAATTTCTGTGGCAGCCATAGATCCGCCCGAGGGAAAAGCCAAAGCAAAGTGTACAGCAAAGGCCAAAGCTAAAGCGAAAGGTAAGGCAAAAGCAAAAGGCAAGGCCAAGGCAAAGGCCCAAGCACGTGCGACTGAGCCACAGCCCACTGGCAGCAAGCCAGCGGCTGTGACCAGCCTGAAGAGACCAGCCTCTGCACTATCTCCAGGTCCAGCACCCAGGAGACGTGCAGATGCAGGTCAAATGCCTCCAGATGCCAGCCTTGGGTGCGGTAAGTGCCGCTACAGCTCCGTTGGCTGCGCGGTCTGCCGAAAGAAAGCTGGCTTGATTTTAAATGCAGCTGGCACACAATGGGTCTGGAGTAGTAGCTGAGCTGATTGAGGTGCGCTGGTGGTGAAAAAAGGGCGTGTGTATGTGGGGGTCCATGATGGGGATTTGAATTTGTCCAATCCATGGTCATGTCTGAATATCTGTCTTTGAGTTTCGTTTGTTGCTCAAGCATTTAAACTAGCCCCAGGGCAGGTCATTAAATGGGTGACCGGCCGGTCGTGGTATTGGAAGATAGCCCGGCACCTCCTTCCAAGCGGACGAGGCCATTGTTTGTTTTTTTGTTCAAGTAAGTTCAAAAATGATCTTAGTTAGTTTCAGCTTCTTGATTTTTTGGACTTTGCCATTCAAACCCCGCCCCTGCTGCCAGGTGTCAGGAGAGCGACATTGTGGTGATTGACGACGACGAGGAGGAAAAGCAGCAGCACCTGTTCATGGAATTTTTTTCGCCACCGCGGGTAGCCATACCTTTGCGGCGCGAAGGGTTCTTGGCAGTCCACAGCTTTGACATTATGACAGGCTACGACTTTTTGACTGCAGATTCTCGCGCCCGGGCATTGAAGCTGCAGTCAAGGCACCGTCCATTTTTCACAATGCTGAGCGCGCCTTGTACCATGTACAGCCCCATGCAAAACGCAAACCTGGGCAAGATGGATTTGGCCACGAAGAAACGCAGGTGGTCAGAGGCGCACTGTCTACTTGACTATTCAATGCTTGTTGCCAAGCGACAGCACGCCCGGAAGCGCTTTTTTGCGCATGAACATCCGCAAAAAGCTACTTCATGGAAGCGTCAAAGCGTGAAGGACCTGGAGGAGGAAGAGGATGTCATGAAAGTGTCCTTCGACCAGTGCCGTGTCAACCTACGAACACCAGTCTCAAAGAAACCCCTGCAAAAGAGGACAACGCTGCTGACAAATTCTGCAGCCATTGTCGATTTGTTCCAGCCTTTGCAATGCGCCTGCACAGAAGAACATGCCACCATTGAGGGCAGCGAGGGAGGCATCCAACTGTCGAAGTGGTGCCAGGTGTATACACCCGAGTTTGTGGACAAGCTGCAGAAGGCTGTTCGCTTGGAATGGGAGCGTAATAAGTAGACTCCCTGCCAGCAACGAGACGGTGGAATGTAGAAATGTCCACCTATCTCAGGCTGCCGTCAAATTCTCTGAGCGATGATGTTTCGTGGAAAAATTGCGACGCAGCCCGGGGGTCGAGAGGGGTTTTCGGATGCTTCAAATGTTCCAAACTTGACGATCTGGGGGGGCAAGATTTCCGCTCCCCCCGTTGGTCAAGTAACGTCTGTAACTAGACGATCTCTGTGCTACAGTAGCTGAACTTGACGATCTGGGGGTGCACGATTCCTGCCCCCCCCGTTGGTCAAGTTTTGGGGTTAGCATGGTGAGATGGTCAAGTAACGTCTGTAACTAGACGATCTGGGGGGGCAGGATTTCCGCTCCCCCCGTTGGTCAAGTTCTGGTGTTTTCCAATTTTTCAGGGCAGAGATTTTGATTTAATGTCCACTTTCTTTTTCTCTTTTCAGACCTTGGGACTAGGTGGCAGCCACGAGATTTTACCCCAATTCATCTATCACATTTAAAGTGTGGGAAATGCTGAAGTGAAATAATCAATTCTCTAGTTGTTGACGGGAATGTTGTTGTATATCCGCAGCCAATTGGTTACAAAACCCAAACCCCTATCTCATGCAGGACTGACACGCAGACAGATGATGATACTTAATCTCATGTCATATATGATATGCACACACTGCGAGCCTCATCACATGCATAATCATATTCGCCATTGACCATTGGCTTACCACATTAGCACTTACTTTGACAAGAGGTGACGCTTCCTCTGAACTCTGAACTCTGCAAATTCAAAGCAGGTGCCTTTCGGTCATACTGTAGCGATGGCAAGCAAGGAGGAGCAAGAAGACGAGCAGATGGCCCCGAAGCCGGAATCGGAACAAGTGCCATCTGCCAGCAAAACGGAATCAGAAGCTGGTCCCGCTGCGATGCTAGTAGAAGCCACTGCGGACGCAGCGCTTCTGCAGCAACTGGACACAGAACTAAAGTGCCAAGTTCAGCCGGAAAATTTCCGGGAAGTTTTGCTTCGGGTTTGTGATCTGCTGCTGGACCATCACGGAGGCCCTGTCCAATACCTGCAGTCTGAACTGGGGGCAGAGCCTAATGCTGCCTGGACTGCATTTGCTGCAGACTTGGAAAGGCGTTTTCCACGCCGTCCAGACCTGACATATGTCGATGGACTGCAATACCCAGCTGGCTGCCAAGGCCAAGCTTCCGCAATCAAGGTCAGCTTGTGGCAGTTGGGGTGGCATCCAGATTGTTCCTCGAAGCCACCAACGTTCAAACCAGCAGCCCGGAAGTTGGTGGATGAATTTTTGACACATTCCTTTATCACCGCTTCCGACAACCTGTTGCTGTATCAAAGTGAGAGCTACCCTGGCAGGATGGAAAATCAGCAGGGCGCTCCAATTTTTTTTACTCATTATGTCAAAGGAGCGGCACGTGCCAGCACAATTCTGATGTTGGCACATGTCTTAGTATGCAAGATGGACCTTGATGTTGCCTCATTGAATCCGCGGCTCTATGACAGTATGTTGGCTGTGTTCTGCAAAGAGTCCGACATTCCCACAGATGCGGTAGCCATTGCTTTGGAAAATGCAACCCTGAGTGCCCGTGGAGACATCCGCAAACAGCATGATGTTATCACATGGCTGAGCAAGCTGTTGATCCTGAAAGGCAAAGGCTTGTCACCCACTGAAGTCTTGCAGCGGTGGAATGAGAGTGCAACACGCGAAGCAGCAGTGGTAGGAAATAAGCGCACCGGTTTGCTACTGCTACTGAAGCTTCCTACAGAATCAGCGCAGTTGCTCCTAAAACACAGCAGTACCTTCGGCAATGACTCTGCGTTCAGCAATGAAGTCTTCGCGCACAAACGATTGCATCCTGGCTACACCCCTCGTGGAATGCCGCGGCAATGGCAAACAAGAATGACCGTCACTGTGGATGGGTTCAACTTGTTCGTCCAATATGTCCATGCCAGTCAAGCACGAAAGATCAAGGATAATAGGAAGAACTGGGACAAATCAGCGCTGGAAGAGACCCTGTCCATGGCCCAGCTACTGACATCCCTCATGGTGGAAATCCAGAACCAGCATGCTGTCCACAAAGATCTGCTTCTAGAGAAAGTCATTCATCCCTTTCTGGACTTTGACCCAAATTTCGAGCTGGAACTCCAATCTGCGTTGAGCGAGTGCAAAGCAGAGTTTCAACCAGCCGACATCTCTAAGTTCAAGGATGTAGTAGCGGTGGCCCTCGCTAATCGAGATTCAAAAATGACAGCAATTGGCCAAGGACCACGAATCACAGCAGGCGAGCTGGAAAAGCAAGCGTTCGAGGTCATGCTTGCATCAGCAGAACATGATGTCCAATCATACCGCGCCTGGCGCACCAAGTGTCTGGACAGAGACAGTGCGCAGTATTTCCAACAGCTTCAGCACACCGCAAGACGGCAGAAGCAGGCCAAGGAGATCGCAGCCAGCGTGACAGCAGCAGGGCCAACATGGCAAATCCAGTTGGACATCTTCAAAAAGCTGGACACTGCCAACTTTGCAATTGTCACCGCCATCGCTGACAAGATCCAACGTCTGCACCAGTTGTCCGACCGAGAGTCCATCCATTGCATTGCTTTCTTGAATTGGTCTGCCCCTGCGATTTTTTCAGCGCAGACTCAGAAGGCGCAGGCAGGTTTGTGCGGAGGCATTGTGAACGGGCTTGGCCGCTCCATTGGCGTGTGCTTAAGCCCCATTCATTTTTACAAACGAGGCAGCCTACACAAAGCAGAGCAGAATTGCTTAACATTGCTGACCAATTCAGCGTTGAACACGGACACCCGCTTCGCAGTGGCGTATGCCAGCAAGACAGATGAGCGGGAGAAACGGCCAATGCTCCACCCAGGCTTCATCCTATTCCCAGGGGGAACGGACGAGAGCGCAGCTCACAAGGTGCTTTGGCAAATTTGGCGCACCTCAGGACTGCTAAGCAAAGGGGCCATTACAGACGTCAGCATGAACCCCTCACAGCAAATGCATGTCATCGAGGACATGAGAGACGACGCGCTACCAGATTCGTCAGACACAGCCACGCATTTGAGCCAGGTCGAGAAGGCGGTGCAGATCGGCGAAGACGCTGCGCGCAAGGTCCTTCAGGCAGCTTTGCCTCAAGGCCTGAGCCGCGCAGCCATCTTGGTGGTCGATCTGAGTTCGCACACTCTGGAGTTGGCTAAGGCGTGCTACAAAGAGAGGGTAGCAAAGACTCAGCAGACTCCTATCTATTATTTGGGTATGGCAGAAAGTGAAAGTGAGTTGGAATGGCAACGCCACCATTTGGAGTCATGGCTGAGTGAGGGCTACATAGATGGCTCAATCGGGTTGCCCCCAGGCGCGCCATCCCTGATGCCCAAAGAATTGCCTTCAGACGTGGTGACTGCCCTTCCACCAAAGCCTGATCTGAACACCTTAGCATGGAGTGCCAAGAAGGACGAAGTAGCGGGGCTGCCGACCTTAAAAACCCCCGACAAGATCTTACAAGCGTGGCATGACCACGCTGTCTACGGAAGCCGATTCCAAGAATGGCTAACACAAAGTCGGGCCGCCATTCCATTGGATCTTTCTGAGTCCGCTTCAACCAAGGCATCGTCATCCAGCAACAAACGAGGCGCTCCAGGGACTTCGGAGTCATTGGAGCCACCCCCAAAGGTCTTGAAATCAACAACAAAAGAAGAAGATGCCGCTGCCGCCGCCGCAGCAGCCAGCATTCCTGCAGCAGATCTGCCAAAACCTTTGGCATGGCAGGTGACAATTTCAGGGAGCGGTACCAAAGGAAAAAGCAGTGGAGGAGGAAAGTTGGTGATAGCAGTGGGAAAGCGGGTGTTTATCGTGAATGAAGGCAGTGCAGATCTTCTCCTGCAGCCTGGCTCAACCCTGGCAGGCTATTACAAAGGAAAGTTTGTGGCACTGAAGAGCGGCCAGGAAGAGGCGCGTCTTGCTGATGTCCCTTTCACGCTGACAGATTCCACCGACTCAGTGCTGCACGAAAACAAGATTCAGTCAGTGGGCCAGGTTGTGGCACAGAAGCGAGCGCTGACGCCATTGAGCGCAAGCGTCTGCTACCACGAGCTGGTAGACCAGCCCAATGCCGAAGATGCGAAGCATTTCATCTTGACTTTGAAAAGCCCAATTGCTTTTCGGCCTGAGAATGCACCAACAACGGAAGACAAAAAGGACAAAGATGGTTGCTACACATTGCCGCAAACCAGCATGGCTGGCTGCTTGGACACACTTGCATGGGAAACCAAGCATACCAGCATCACCTGGGCAGTCAAGTGGCAAGCCAGAGGCTTGCAGCCAGTCCGGCCAGTGGTAGTGGTGACGCGCAAACTGACTGTGAAGGCTGGCCAGGCCGTGGAACTGGTCAAGTAGGCGCCCCAGTCGGTTGGCATAATAGTGCTGAACAACCAATACTGTAACCACATTAATTAATGGCTTTCACTTTTTTTGCCCAATATTGAAATTCTATTGTGTTTCTCATCTCACTAATATGCCGGCCGCTTGGAGATGCCTTGGCCAAGTAGCTCCTCAACTGACTGTCTCAGCTCTGACTTGCCGAAAATGGTTCTCCGTGCAGCTCTGAGATGGTATGGGGAAATTAGGAGCAGCCTGCACTTAGGTTGATGGTGTATTCTTTACTAAATACATGTCTTCGCCATTGCAATATTGACAACATAGTAGGGCCATGTCCGCAAAACAACGATTGAACGACATGTTACAAAAGGATAATTAAGGCAAACAAATAATAATAATAATAACAATAATAATAAATAATAATAATAAATAGTTCTTTGTAAACAAGTCAATCATAATCACTCACGTGGGCAATGACGCTTCCGAATCACGCAGATTGGACTATATGAACCATTTGTTATGTATTTGTAGAATACAAGGAAAACAAGAAACACATTGCATTTACTCTGAAATTGGTTAAACGTATGATATGCTGATTGCAGGGAACTCAGAAATATTCATCTACTTTGCATATTTTTTCGAGTGGCCACAGCAACTATACAAACAACTTTCGGTCAACGAATGGAAAAGGTCTTCAAGGGCGCCCGTGTGTATTTCCATATATTTCTCACAGCAAATCAAATATCTTTGTTCGGGCAAACAAACAGAAACAACATAATTACATCTTTAGAGAAGCATGAAAGGCACTCAGCGGAGCATATGATAAGTTGTAATACATAACTCTATGTTCGCACATAACTGACACAACAAATCAATGTAAAGAAAAGAACGAGACATAATTATCACCTTTCCACCGCACAATGCATACACAAGTAGAACTATAATAACTGAATACCTTCTAGCAGTTTCTGCCATGGAAACAGGAAGAGGCTATGGAAAAGGTGATGGCAAGACAAAGAAAGGGGGCCCACATGCCAAATATCCGCCTTCTCGTCCAGTTGCTGCCACAAGCTCCGGGCTTGCGCAGCTGCCACCATCATCATCATCATCATCGTGGCAGCCACCATCATCATCATCATCATCAGCATCATCATCATGGCAGTCTGCCGCTGCCACCGGCTTCGAACCGGCGCCGCAGCAGCACCAGCAGCAGCAGCAGCAGCAGCAGCAGCAGCAGCAACAAGTGGCTTTGACTCCACCAACTATCGCCACCAACATCTCATTGGCGAGAGACTGGTTTATTTCCCCAATCCCTGAATCTGAAGCTCCAGCTGCAAAGTCTTGCGCTGTAGCAGCACCAGCAGCAGTATACACCGATGACGATCTCTTCGACGAACCGGATTCAGAGGGACGTGACAATAATCTGCAGCTGCCTGCCGCTGGGCAAAATAATTGGGAGAATCTGATGCCAATGACACCTTCATCTTCTTCACAATCGTACATATATCCGGATGGATCAACAACAGAAGGGGGAACTGCGCCTCCTTCATTGTCGTTCCGCGCTGCCACTGCCTCAGTACAATCGAGCTCTACACCGCAAGGCACGCTAAGTTCTTCCCACCACTCATCAGTGCCAACTTCAGGGCAAGGCACGCTAAGTTCTTCCCACCACTCATCAGTGCCAGCTTCAGGCAACAGTGGGCAGACTGACACTCAGTGAGAAGCAGCGCTGAAAGGCCGACAGTCATTCCAGCCAGTGTGAAAGGCGAGCGCCAGCTGCTCGTGCTGCTGCTGCTTCTTTTACTGTCCAGTTCAACCCACACGGAGAAGTACGTGAGCCATGATGTCATGTTGTTAGCAATTGACTCACAGGTCAGCATCAATTACATGTTGTGCCGCAGCTCTTTTGGCTCCAACGCAGCAGGGCCCACATCAAACAACATGCAATAATGAAGTAGTCATGCCACAAAATACACCCGATCAGCTTTCATTGAAGCGTTCAGAATTAAAGACCAAATTGGCTTCAAACATGTTCCTTCAGACCATGTGACAGTAAGAGATGCTCAAAAAACTTTAGCCATGGCTGATGGATTCAACTGGTCATCATCTACTGCCGCAGGCAGCGATCATGATTGTGATGACGGGCATCATCAGGGCAGCAGCGCCAACAATGAGCAAGCACCGTCTGTGTGCCACGGTCAAGGTGATGATGTTCGTATCGCAGCAGCAGCGGCCTGCCCTCTAGGTGTCGCTGCCCAACTGCCAGCAAAGGATGTGACTACAGAACCAACTGTAAACACCAGTGCTGGCAGCGGCAGCGTGCCTGACACCACTGCCATGGCAAGGTTTGCTTACTCTGAGTCTGGCGTTAGTGCCAGCCAGAGCTGCAATCCTGTGAATTCTGCTGGCCACCATTGCCCGCAGTGTAGCCAGTGGAGCAGAAGCAATGTTTTTAAATGCCAGTGCTTGACTGTCCAATACCTAGAGAGGCAGCGCGATCGGTGTCCATTCGGTTGTGGCGAACGTCTGGGTCTCATGGACGATTGGGCATACCACAAGCATTTGCGGAATTGTGAAATGCGGAATCCCTACGCTCGGAAAAAATTACGTGGAAATTGAATTTGCATTGTCCGATGAGCCGCTAGTTGGACTGACCCACCTAGCCATCTCCCAGTGAATGAGGCGCTATTGGACGGACCGGGCCCACTAGCCACCTCACATTGTGCGTGCTGGGGGAAAAAAAGTCCGTGCGGGCAGCTCTGAAATCATTCAATAATGATGCCAATTCATTTAAGCTTTCCCTCATATATATTGTTCGATCAGCATTTAACTCAAATCAATCCGAAACCCTTACTTTTCTCAAAAAACAGTGTCATATACCCAAAAAAAACTAAAAACGAAAACAAAAACAACTAAAAACGAAAAAAAACGCCTTGAATTCCGGGTAGGTCTGGGTGCGTTTGCGTCGCGCGGCTTCTTGGACGGTGGCGCCGGGGTGGGTGTCGGCCCGCCGGCGGGGCAGTCCATCTCTTCCGATGGGGCTGACCAGGGTCGCGTCCACCACCTGGGCTCCATGCCACAGGGGCAAGCCGTTCACCAAGACTTCGATCGCCCGAGAGTCTTGAGGGGGGTGGGGAAGGTTCATCTGGTTGAGGGGGATGTTGGTGTGCACTCTGCCGCCGGCTTCTCGGCATATGCGAGCGACCGCGCGTTCAAGGGGGCAGAGCGCGGGTGCGCAGGAAGCCAGCGGTGGGGCATGCACTGCGGTGGTCACCAAACTCATCCAGGGGGCCCCCGCACCGGCAAGTCGCGTCTGTGAAAGGGAGGGGGAGGCGCACACGGCGCCGCAAGAGAACACGGAAGTGTTCACTGGAGAGGGTGACCTCAGGGCTTGTAGGGCAAACGGTGAAGGCTCGGCTCGCGTAGGGCCCGGCTTGGGACAACAAAAGTGCGTGCGACGGGGGGGTCAAGGTCAGAAAGAAGCGCGGCGGACGCATTGCTGTCGGCTGCTGAGCTTGCGAGGCGTTGCCACCCTCGTTGGTATTCTCCTGCTTCCCTGGCGTGGGGGTTGGGTGGGCCTGATGTGGGGAGGGTGTCCCAGGCCGGCACGGCGAATCCGGCGTCGCGGAGGATGTGCGGCGCGGCTTGGTTCGCTTCCAAGATGCTGGGGGGACGGGAGAGCGGGCTTCGCCTTGCAGGAGGTGCAGGATCCGGCTGGTGACGCCAGGGGATCGGCGGTGGAGGGCTGGGAGGGTGTCGGCCCACGACGCCGAGTACGCGGTATGTCGGGTGCTGAAGGCGGAGCGGAGTCCCAGCCCGCCGTGGGTGAGGGGCAGCTGCGCGCGTGCGCGCAAGTGGTGGGAGGGGTTCCCCAGCATTGATGAGGTGTGCCATGGCCCACGGCCGCGTCATGGTCTGCGGCGTACGTGGGTGCGCCGCAAAAGAGGAGCAGGAGGAATGCGACCTGCGTGTCCTCAACAGTAGGGATCGCGGTCAGGAGCTGAGCTTGTGCGACGTGTTTGTCGTGCAAGGCCGCGGCCACATAGTGAGGGTGTCCGAGGGGGGTGCCGAGGATTTGGAGTCCTTGCGCGTTGGTTGGCAAAGCCCAGTTGCCGGTCCAAATGGGGGCTGCGGGCGGGGTTGGTTGTAGGAGGTGGATGTCCGTGGGTTCCTCCCCGGCAGCGTTCCACACTCTGGTCTTGCCTAGGTGGAGGCTGATGCCAGCGTGCGCGTCAAGGTTGGCTTGGAGCAGGTTGAATATGGGGACGGTGCGGTGTGGGGGGGAGACGACATATAAGTCATCGAGGTAAGCCAAGAGGGTTTCCCCTGGTTGGAGATGGGGGGAAATGGAGGTGAGGGCGGTGTGGAGGGCGAGGCTGAACATAGCTGGCATCAGGGGGTCACCTTGTTCGCCTCCGTCGCCTTGCAGGACTGTGTGGGGGTTGGAATGCTGGTCGTACCAGAGGTACGTGGAGGGGGTGCCATACAAGCCGCGCAGCATGGGCAGGAGGGGGGCTGTGTCTGGGTTGGCTGCAATCGCCGCCAGCATGGCATGGCGGGAGACATGATCATACGCTCCCACGCCATCGACGCTCAAGATCGTTGCGCGGGGGGTCTAGCTCCGTTGCTGCGCGGAGGTGTCGGACTAAGGCTTCGGCGCCCGCTTTGGTGCTGAGGGCGTGTTGGTGGGGCATGCACGCGGCCTCGAACGCGGGCGCGAACTGTTGAGCCAAGGTGCGTGACACCAGTCTCCGGAACACGTCACTCATGACGAGGCCCCGCACCCCTCCGTCCGGCTTTCGGAGGGCAACCAGTCGTCCGAGCCGCACGGCTGCCTGGATGCTGTCTGGGAGCTGGGCGCGGGCAAGCTGCTGTGCTGCAAGGAAGAGGAGGCGGGCATCGGCGTCCGAGTCCAGGAGGCTGCGCAAATTTTCTGCCGTGGCCCCTGATGGTCCCGCCGCTGCGCCGCGCCGGGCTTGGCGCAGGTTGGCGAGAAATTTCTCTTCCGATAGAATCAGTTCGGGGGGCGCCTGCCTGAGTCTTTATATTACTTATTGCCCATTGCATGCATGTATGCAACCTATCATAGAGAAAAGAGGGGACCAACAAGGAACGAACCAAATTGAACTCCCCAACATCAACAATCACGGTGCGCACTTTTTAGCCGGGCGACTTGAGCCACGCGTCATCAGGCGGTGATGACCCCTGGATAAACTAGGCTACTACCCCATTAGGTTATCGGAAGTAACCCCGGGGTGTCTACATTTATCAATGATGACTGTACAACACTATTGGGATGTTGGAATCATAGCTACAGTATGGAGTGAACTATAAGTAAACTATACAGTGGGGGTAATGGGGTCGTAATATTTCTACTATCATAGCGTACCTATATACTACCATGTGCTACTTCTGTCCTACTCATCTACGACTGATAAGCTGTATCACCCCCCCATCCCGCCACCCCCCACACCACAGGGGAGGGGGCAACCACATACACTACCAAATAGATACCTCATATTAATGATAAATACGTACATGTATGTGTGTATATGTATATGATACGTCTGTATGTATGTTTGCCACCTATAATTCTATATGCTCTACATATTTGTTACCTAGACACTGCCTATATACTACCTATATGATACGGTTACAAATAGATAGACACTAGCTGTGTACTACATACTACATACTACCAGAAAATAGCACCTATGTACCACTTTTTTGGGATGCACCATTCTATTCCCCATACAGCATATGCAACCATAAACCCCAACCCACACCCACAGCGGGGTTGAGGGGATAATTGCCATGACCATGGGTGAGGGAGAGGGGGACCCATGAGCCAAGTTTTCGCCAGCTCCCATGAGCCAAGTTTCGTCGTGCCCAGGCGAAGATAATTGCGACCACGAACATCCCCACGATGAAACCAATCTGTGGCGAAGGAATCCGAAGATTCGGCCAGCGAACATCCCCATTGGGGTTTTTAAAGGATGGCAGAGTCATAATTCTACATATGGTTTACCCTCTGGTTATGACTAACATAGCCATGGAAAATCACCATGCTATTAATAGGTAAACCATCTATAAATGGGCTATTTTCCATGGCTATGTTAAATAACCAGAGGGTAAATCATATTCTGGCTATTGTGGTGACCAAATGTAACCAAGATGTACCTGTGGATTTCTACCTGCTTTGGACCCCGGGTAGGACAATCGAAACCAAAACCAGTGGTGAAACCAACTCCAGGCGGCCGGGCAAAGATTCCTGTCACCATGCCGTTGTAGGAGAACAGCTCACCTGGCAAGTTCATGGGGCCACCCTTGGGATCAAGTTCAAGTAGGCCCCAACGAGCAAATACAAATAGATAAACACTATATCAACCCATACATGATCAGTATGATAGATGGATATAATATGTATGTATGTGTGTATATATTAATATAGATCATAATGGGGTTATATCATGCTATATCTGTATTTGCACGTCAAACACATGGATATCCTATTGTATCCTCTTGTAACAATGCTTGGTGTGATGGTATCTAGACCATTTCTGAAGGCCGTTTGCCTGGAAGTTGACTGCCTAAAATCAAATGTTAGGGACCCATTCTTGCAGCTGGAACTCCCTACAGCCATACATACCACTGGAGTGTTCATATCATTGACCTCATAGGCGCACAACACAAAGCGATAAGTGATTTATTAAACTGCATTAGAATCATTAGAATTGTAAATATAATCCGGTAAGCCCAACAAGAAACCTACCATTTGGGGATGGTTTACTAGTGGCTTTACCACGTCAATCCCTTTCTGGTCTCCCTTTGGCATGCGGCTACGTCCTGCAGGGCACAAGTCACATGACCCCACCACTTTTTTTGGCACTGGCAACCTGTGTCGCCAGCGGAAGGTTCAAATAATCTGCACAAACACTTGCAAGATCCTTCCTGTCACTGAATTCTTCCATTTCTTGCCTGAGCTCACAGGCACTGGAAGATACTGGAAGCGCTGCTGAAACTATAGCTGTCCAAATCTGTTTAGATTCAGGCTGTCATTATGCCAATGAGGGCTACAGTCACAAATGTCATGCAGCAATTCTGTTGAGGCAAGGCGTCAAACAGCATTCATGATTAACAGATCACACCTATGCCAACGCACGGTCAGCCAGGAGGCAACCAGCCAGAGACCTTCTGCCGCAGAGCACGCTTGTGCATTTCCAGGGCATCCTCCAAGCCTTGCCCAGGCGGAAAATCATGGGCCATCCCATTTTTAGTAGTGATTTATCATCTATACCCTCTGGTAAACTAACATAACTATGGGAAATCACCATTTTTAATGGGAAAACCACTATAAATGGCAATTTTCAGTAGCTATGTTCGTTCACCAGAGAGTATCATCTATAAACGGGGATTTGTCCATCCTTATACCATAGCAAAGTGTTGAACTTACCAGAGGGGAACGGATTTCGGGTCCAGCTGTAAACAGCTGGAGGTGATGGACATGTTCCCGTTCCATACATTAAAGTTCTATCAGTGGCCCTCTGGGGAATACACATATGACGATCTAGATATTACGGAAGCAGAACATTCAGTGCTCTTCTTAATCTTCTTAAATGACATGCCGGATAGGAAAATGATGGAACATGGATAACCACATGTTCATGCTACTTACGCTCTGTTGCTCAAAGATATGACAATGCAAAAAGGGACAAAGGCCGGAGATTATAGATAACATTTCATAACCCTTGAAAGATCCAGCACACCCTCCACCACTAGCGCCAAGCTGCGCAGTTCTTGCAGCGCACCTTTCCAGCCTCTGACGCCTGCCATGTCCCAGCTCAGGGATGATCCAAGAGCCACTACGGTAGTGAGACCTTGAGACCCTGTGATGTGGAACAAATAGGGTGCACATTCACAAGTGCTATATCTGTGCAGAACGGCATTTTTTGGACCCTGCAGACTTTGCAGACACAAAGAATGCCAAAGGAAACTATAGCGCCAAAAGTGCCAAGAAGCAAATCCGAAGCAAGTGCTTCGCGTAGTGCCTTAGTAATTTCTTCAATGAGAAGGCCAGGAAACTAACAAGGTGAGGGGCTTGCTGTGTCCGGGGGCTTGGCCCACACCAAACCTAAGGTGCTAGTCATCCACCGGATTTGTTTGTGCATTCTGCATTCTGGTGGCGACGAATCTGCCACAGACCTGCGGTTGCTTCTTCCCCACCCTTCTTGGGTTTTGACATCAAGACCCTGCACTAGGTAAATAGGCCAAGACAGCCCACAACATACATCTGGCCGCAACCCTGCAATTGTAGTCTGTCACTTGTTGGTTGGTTGATTGACATTGCTTGGCTGTTGCTGCCAGGCTGTCAGCAAAAGAGCTCATGAATCATGAATCATGAGCTATACCCTCTCATAAACAAACATAGCTATTGAAAATGGCCATAGAAATAGGGAGTTTTCCCATTAAACATGGTAATTTTCCATAGCTATGTGGCTGTTTACCAGAGGCTATACGCCTCTGCAAATGACGCTTAAATTCGCTGTGGAAAATTCGACCGTTTCCTTCATGGGATCTCCGGGCGCCGCCATGCGCCGCCCAGCCACTGAAGAGCAGCGAATCGTTTCTGTCGAGCACTCCTCAGCTCATTGCTACTGACAACCCTGGATTAGTCAGCTTCTGTTGATTAATTAGGGGGTCACCTACAAAAAGTGAGAAGTGGTTCCAAATATATATATATATATATATAAATTTCAAGAAAACATTTGTCTGAAAATGCGGAGTTCGCACTGTCATTGGATATTTACTGATCAACAAACTGATCAGACCCTTGACACCACTCGAAGATATGGATGTGGTTGAAAACCGTAAATCGTATGAGTGGTGCTCTGCCAAACTGGTTTAGGTCGTATAGTCACTCATTCTTGAGCCACCCCCCACCTTCCATGGTTCTGCCTCTCAATGGGGACCACGCAAAACACCGCTTCAGCCCAGGAAAATACTATAGTATATACATATATATATAATAGATTATTGTATAACAGTATCGAAGTTTAGGAGGTAATTACCTTATTATTGTGAGACAAAGCCATACATGATGTTCACACATGTTCACACCGCTCAAAAACATAAACCGAACACAATTGGTTGCAACTATGACTCTCTTCTGCTGCGAACATCCAAAGGCTAAAGCCCGTTCGTAGCTGTGACTGACCCACCAGAGTCCAACAGTCTCGCTCCACCCTTGGCATCGCAAGCGCTGCCACGATGGGTGCCCGGATCAGGGAAGATTTAGGTGACCCTCCTGGATAGTCAGCACCCATGCAAACATACTTGGGCAAACATGGCAAAAAATACAGCAGAAACACATCCGCAAAGGGTCTGAATAAATTAGATCTTTGTCGAACGTAAAAGAACAGAATTTATCAAGTGTAACATGTTTTCTGAAGTTGGGATCAATTGGTCAGTATTTTGACATCCCTTTCAACATGGATATTTCAAGGGATACATTCTGAGAATATATGCCCGGTGAACCAACAGGCCTAACACGGTACAGTTTACCCTATGAAACATAACAGACTGAAGACTGAACCATCCATTTTAGGTGGCCAAACAAAAAAATCCCCATAACCATAAAAAGGTCAACCCTGGGTTGATTAAGTTGGGGGCTATCCTAAAACAGAGATATACAGAGATGATCTGCTAGAAGCAAACACAGCCTCAATCCAAGGTTGACACTATACTGACACTAAACCATATTACTGTATACTATATTGCTCGAACCATATTAAGCCACATCAAACCATCCCTGATACATACATAATATGTATATATATATGTATAAATGAATAAATATACGCTCTGATTATCAACCATGGCAATTGAACATCTGTGTAAATGGATGATTTTCAAGCAGGCCATGTTTGATTACCTTCTGGTATATGCGTATATGCCCCAGTTGCGAACATCAACTATCTTCCATACTTATCCCAGCGCACACAGTGATTTTAGCTCGCCTTCGCTGCTGCCGAAGGAAGATGCGCAACACGGCAACGATGCAGCGGAAGGCATGGCGCCGCGCAAGCCAAGACCTTTTGGCACCGAGGACAAATTCTCTTCATTTTGCCAGGGAACTTTATTTTAGATTCAACACAAGATGAGATGCAACCAAGAAAATCAGGGATCCAAGGAACAAAAATATGCGATTTCGTGAATGATAGTGGGGACTATCCCAAAACGCAGACCAGGCGCTGCCAGTATCATCAGTGCAGGTTCTTCAAGTCTACATCGTGCCACCCCAAGTTTTGCTGCTCATAAATGACACATTTTGGCTGATTCATGTCCCTTTGACAGCTTTTTTAAACACCAATCTTTGGCGGTTGGGTCCACATCTTGAGGAAACCAACATATTCAACCCTGTATTTCTTGGTGGTTGAACTCCTTATTTCTGTCATCTCTGTTGCTGAAAACTGCCATTTCTGACTGGTGAAAGGTACCCTACAATAATATTATAATAAACTAACATAGATGCAGAAAATCAACCATTTCTAGACTCTTTTGGGAAACCATGGGTCTTCCACATCTATATTGGTTTAGCCATGCCCTCGGATATCTTTTTTCCAACGTTCACGCCGTCCACGTGCTGCTGAGCCACAGCGCCAAGTGCGCCCGCCCCAGGCGCGCCGCAAAGCGCGCGCTGCGGCGCTTCAGGCGGCAGCGGAGCCACGCAGCGAAGCAGAAGCGCAGCAGGCGCTGGCCGCGGCGATTGAAGGCCATGACATCCAAGAAATGTGCTTGACTCACCTGGGTGGAAGGATTCGCTGATGCTATATATTGCTATATATGGCTATGATTTGCTACGTTATATACATATTATTATTATACACTGTTTGATTATATATGTGTAGTGTATGCGTGCTTATTTATTCATTTGCTGACTTTTGAAACATGTATTTATTATAATTGCTTGCATTACACTCCACATACAGATATCGATGTATTTTTCATCACATGGGAGGATTGCAACATGAGAAATATTTTGATGTGTTGGAAGAAGGAGGTATAGGAGATGTGAGCATGGGTGGGCCAACGCCAGTTCGCGCCACTTGAACATCAACAATTCATAGTCATGTGTAAACCGGCAAACAAATACAGCTGAGCATTCCTGATAATTCAATCATACATGGATAGGAGGTACGAGCATGATCCAACCATGATGAGCAACCCAAACAAAGTGGTTGATCTGGTAAATACAATGTTTTTTTCCATCCAGCATCATGTATCATTCCAGATAACACCCCGTCAACATTGCTATAACTTCAGGATGTAAGTCAGTATAGTATATATATATATAAAAAACTCAGCTATAGGGGGGGAGCTTTCCCAAACTCCGATCCTGATCCAGTTGCTCAATCTTGACTTGAACCAAGGCACTTCCTGCCGTAGGCCACACCTTAGTTGCCCGAGATATCCCAAGGATTTCAAAAGCTTGCAAAGTCCCGGTATATTCTTGTTAGATTCCTCTACATCTATATATATATATACAGCATATTTTAGAGTATATATATATATATATATATATATATGTATTTATATGTCCTAATGCAGTATTATCTAGTATTCCTCCTCCAAAACAAACATATCTCAGGTAGTTTCCATACGTTTCCACTTATGAGTTATGAGTACTTATGCTTTTCTCCCCAGCCGACTAACCATCAGCAACTGCCACCACCAAGGCACCAAACGCGAATGTACCTGGGATGGGTACCATGAGGATCACCACTTGTGACATTGTGACATCTCAATCTGCTGGCACTTTTGGTGGAATGTTCACTTTAAAAACCAAAACAATGACCATGATTGGTGGCATTTTGACCGATGCCATGGCCATTTTCGGATAATTTTTGGTGGCAAAAAACATAGAATAATCCACATACTTTCAGATGATTGGGAAACTCAATTCGTAGCTCCTTATCGCTCCCTCCATTCACCACTGGATAGCAAAAACCACGGGCCATGTAGCCCAAGGTGCCGATGGAGGATGTACAACTCACGTGCCGAGCGCTCCTCTGCCACTTTTTTTCTTTACTTCTTGTTGGGTTGGTGTTTGTTTCAAACATATTGGAGAAATCTGATATTTTTTTTGTATATGTAAGATTTCTAGCGTGTGATTTCCAACTATTAAAGCGCTGTGATGAACGAAAGAAGTTCGAAAACCTGAGACTCAACGCCATTTTAGCAGATCTTCGTCTTTATCTGCCCACTATATCGTCACCATAGTTGGTCGATGCCAAAGTTGCTAAACATACTTCAAGATCGCAGCAAGTGATCGCAAGTGTTCATCATTCCCCCCTCTGCCCTAGTTGGGTCAGATCGGTCAACCATCTCAATCACAAGCATGTGACATCTCCGATTGGCATTTATTGGTATAGTATGACATACTTATCATTGTCCTATTTTGTATAGTATGGTTCAACAAAAATCATACCCTACAAACGTGAGTAATCTTCAGTCGTTTCTATCCCTCCATCACGTCCCATTCGGGTGTGCCCATTCTAAGCAAAAAAACATCATGATACATCCCCAAAAATGACCCCAAACGTGAGGCAATCATATACATTTATATTACGTATACAACATTTACACACACATAATTATATATATATGCAATAAAATATAAAAAAATATAATACCATGTAATTTAATATAATATAACAAACTAACATAATATATAATTTAATGTAATATATAACTTGAGAGGGGGGGGACGAAAGGTAGGGGGGAAAAGACAGGAGGGAGAGGCAAGAGAAGGTGCGACTGTTTGTAACGCAAGCACGCCGACGACGACGACGACTACTACTACTACTACTACGACTACTACTACTACTATGACGACTACTAGTACTAGTACTAGTACTAGTACTAGTACTAGTACTAGTACTACTACTACTACTACTACTAGTACTACTACTAATACTAGTACTAGTACTACTACTACCACTACCACTACTACTACTACTGCTACTACTACTACCACTACTACTACTACTACTACTACTACTACTACTACTACTACGCCCAGGCCCGTTACACTTTACATTCAATTGGGAAGATCAACAAGGGTATTAGGGAATATTAAACTCCCACCCCTGTTAAACTTTACATTGAATTGGGAAGATCAACAAGGGTATTAGGGAATATTAAACTCCCACCCCCGTTAAACTTTGCATTCAATTAGGAAGATCAACAAGGGTATTAGGGAATATTAAACTCCCACCCCGGTTAAACTTTACATTCAATTGCGAAGATCAACAAGCGGATTCATGACTTCGTGGAAATTGCGTTGAAGAGTTTGCCGATTTCTAACGTTAGATGTATAAGGTAGGCATTTTGGACAAGAATCGGTTGGGAAGAAACTTTTGGAGTTTGAAAAGCTCCCCCAAGCAGCTGGAATGTTTGTGTGCTTGTTGTTGGTGAATCGTTATTCTTGTAGGTATACCGTGTTGTCAGCACGCGGACTCGTTGGACGGGCCTCCAGGGAGTCGACTGAGCTAGTTGTTGACGCTGTGGAGGCGCTTCCGCCACGACTACATAAAGTATCGTTTTTTGTTCTGTACAATGACGTTCCGAACTCCGAATACGTGGACCCGGTGGAGGGGCCTCCAAAGGGTCAACCAAGTGAGGGGTTGACTCTGTGGAGGCTCTCCCACCGGGTCCACAGAAACTATTGTTTTTGGTTAGTTGTTGACTTTGTGATTTCTAGCAAGTTTACATAAAGTCCAACCGGGTCCACAGAAACTAATGTTTTTGGTTAGTTGTTGACCTTGTGATTTCTACTAAGTATACATAAAATATCGTTTTTTGTTCTGTACAATTACGTTCCGAACTCCGAATAGGTGGGCCCGGTGGAGGGGCCTCCAGAGGGTCAACCAAGTGAGGGGTTGACTCTGTGGAGGCTCTCCCACAGGGTCCACAGAAACTATTGTTTTTGGTTAGTTGTTGACTTCTTGTGATTTCTAGCAAGTTTACA